ATTCATCGTATGTCGAAGGGTTTTTTGCTTTGGACATATCTCCAGAACAAGGAATTCATGTTTAACCCTCATTTCAGGGCTGAAAGGGCCTCTTTATCTAAGACTTGTTGACAATAAGTTATCTCGTCAGTGAAACGAGCATGGTAGCTTTTTAAGGTCTCCCCTACTGCTTGTCTCATGTCCTGCAAGCGTTGAATCGGCTCCTCTCCCTCCTTCCTCGAAAGATATTGGTTTAGGATGCCTTTTTCAGGTCTGGCCAACTTCTTATGCTAAGTGGTGACAATCTACTGAACCACACTTCAACAGCTCCACCAAGAGTAAGATGGAAAGCCTTGCACTTTAGGGCTGGCGAGGCGCATCAGAGGCTCATCTGCATTTTATACTTGTTGAGATGTTTCTTCGGGTCGCCCTTTCCTTTCTATTTGGGAATCTTTGGACGGACAAAGTTATGAGGCATCGAAAAGGTGTGAAGCTCCCTGGAGAAGGGCAAGTTGTCATCATCATCGTCCAGTTCATACGACCTATATGGTTCGTCAAAATCGTTCACATCTACTGCAGCACGAGGTGGGTACTGAGCTGTTTCAGCTCTATTCCCCTAATCCATCAGGTTTCGCCTCTCTCGCCTATTTCTAGGCGAAGGGGCCTGAACCTCTTGGCTTTGTGCACGCCCCTACTGGCGAGCCGTTTGGTGCGGGAGCTGGTCCCTATTTCTAGGCATTCGCCTGATTCGATCAAATATACTGGTAGAACGTTGAGGTTGTTCATACTCCGGAGGGAAATTATATTCTCCTGCAGGGGCGCCATCATTTGGAGCGACTGTATAGTTGGAAGTGTCCATTCCCACTTCCCTTTTAGCAGAGGCTTTTTCCTAGGGGCTCAGGAGAGTTCTTCTGCTGGACTTAGCCTCAGCTCGTCTATGGGCTGATTGTTGGGGATTCTATAGGGCTTGAAAACCGCCCTGACTTCGTACTTGCATGAGGAGCTCTTGCATAGTTGCATTCTGCGTTGAGATGGTCCTCGTGTTTGCAGCCATGTGGGCCACTTCAATAGTTAAACGCGCGACAGTTCTACCACATCTGCGATAGCGGTGGTGAGGCCCTTGCAGTGTAACATCTGTTCAGATGACCTCTTCCTCAGAGACATCCCTTGCTCTTCTTGTATTTACCTCTTCGTCGCTAGAACTCATGATCCGAAGTGGCAAATGTACGAAGCTTAATGTACAGATTCTTTTTCAAGAACTAATTCCTTTTCTCAGAGGGGAAATATCAACTAGATATTCAAGCGAATTTTTGGTAGGAAGACTCGTGGTTAAAGTAAGTTTCCCACAGAAGGTGCCAATATATTAACCTCGAAAAATGGTTTTGACACGTGGCCAACAGAACAGGTCTTCAAGTCAGCTCTTCCTTGCACACGTAGCATGCTGTTAGTCACCCGTGGCCTTTCCCAAAGAGATGGAGAATGAAAGCGAGCACTCCGATGGTCAAGTCAGTTTGTAGTTCAACCGGAAAAGGTTCGTCGGCGGTAGAACACTCGTCGGCAAGGGGTTGATAAAGTGTATTCCTTATCCTTATCCTTATCCTTACTCGTATAAAAGAGTGAATACTTCCATCACTGTTCATTTTTCTGCCTTCCTTTCCACACTAGAACCGGATGATATACTGTTCATTAATCTGGTTTTGTAATATTGAATAAATATCTTCTTCATATACCTTTTGTATTGGAGAAGTAAGCGAAGAAGAGATTCTTTGTTTCACTCCCGAGATCATGGTGCAGTAAAAATAGTAGCCTCTTTCCACAAATCGCGACCACCAATTGCTCTTTTTGTGGATCCACTGTTCTTCTACCTAAGTAACATTACGGTCGAAACCTGTATGTCCACGGACTTCGCTCTGGCCATTATTCTTATTCTTGTGCGCTCCATTGTGGATATGTTCTCCGCGCTTCAGATTTTGATGGAGTTCCGTACTGCATCTGTGGCCCCAAGTTCCCTGGTTTTTGGAAAGGGTGAGCATGTGAGGGATCCGAGGAAGATGGTTATTCCGTATTTGAAAACTGATTTCGTTACCGATATGGTTCCTGCTCTTCCCATCCCTCAAGTAAGGTTTCTTTTTTG